TTTTTTTTATTTCAGAGAGGAAGGGAGAGGAAGAGATAGAAACATCAATGATGAGAGAGAATCACTGATCAGCTGCCTCCTGCACGCCCCCCACTGGGGATCGAACCCACAACCCGGGCATGTGCCTTTGACTGTAATCGAACCCAGGACCTTTCAGTCCACAGGCCAACACTCTATCCACTGAGCCAACCCAGTTAGGGCCAAGTACTACCTTTTTCTTAAATGGCTTCCTCGAGATAAAATTCACACACCATAGACTTCACTGAATTAAGATGTACAATTCAATGGTTTTTAGTACATTCACAGAGTTGTATAACTACCCCTACAATCTAATTTTAAAACATTTTCATCATCCCCAAAAGAAAACCTGTACCCATTAGCACTCACTCCCCACTCCAAACCATCTACTATTTATCTCTGTAAGATTTGCCTATTGGCCTCTTGTTACTGGCTTCTTTCACTTAGCATGGTTTCAAGGTTTATCCATTTGAAGCACGCATCATACTTCATTACTGTTAGTATATGTGCTGCTGAGTGAGCATATTTCATTCCTTTTTATTGTTGAATAATATTCCATTGTATGGATGTACCACCTTTTATTTATCCACGGACCAGTGCAGACATTTGGGGTGTTGCCATTTGGGGGCTATTATGAATAACGGTGCTATGAACATTCACATTTTTGCATGGACATATGTTTTCAATTCCTTAGGGGTATTTATGACCATATGCTGAGTCATATGGTTATTCTTTGTTTAGTCTTTTGAGAAACTGCAAATTGTTTTCCAAAGCAGCTGCATAATTTTACATTCTCACCAGCAGTTATATGAGGATTCTAATGTCTCCATACCCGCACGTGTGATTATCTGCCTTTTTGATTACTTACTGTCATCCTAGTGGGTGTGAACTTCATTATGGTTTTGATTTGCATTTCCCTAATGGCTAATGATGTTGAGCACCTTCTGATGTACTTACTGTCACTTGTATGTCGTCTTTGAGAAATGTCTATTCAGACCCTTTGTCCATATTTTTTAATGTAGTAAAGCTTTATTGCCGCTTTGCATCACAGTTCAACATACCCAGTTTGCCTTCCATGAGATGATTTTAAGACCTCAAGATCTCCCTCCCACTCGATTTCCCGCATTAGATAGCAGATGATGAGGGGAAGGGAAGTGTGGAAGATGGTGTAGTGGTTACAGCACTTCCACCTAAATTCCCCCACTGAGAGCTAGTCAAACATTCCCCTTAGCCCCCTCTTCCCCCCACCTGCCCCCCGTCAAGATGCAAGGGTGTTGGAAAATGTTGCTTAGCTTTGTAATAAGGAAAGGAAATGGGTTTTTCTGATTCTGGCTCTTGCTCGTTCTGGCTTGTGCCTTTGCATTTCATTGCTTGGAATAAAATGGGAGAGTGTGTCTTAAGGAAAGATTTAAAAATCCTTTGATGATCAAAGGGCAATAAATACAATTTGGTCCCGTATGGTTCCACCTAGAATACAAGTTAGATTCTTCTAATCTCATATAGTTGCTAAGGCGATGGTTAGAAATTAGGAAAACAAAGCTTATGACATTGTGACAATATTCATAATTAAAAACCATGCTTATAGTTTAATAAGCAAGTATAACTCATTTATTATTTTCCTTTTATTTTCTATATTGAGGTTCTATTGTATATGACCAGAGTTTTGAAAAAAAAATGTTGAAAGTCTTCTTTAACAATCCTCTGTCCCTTTAGTCACTGAATTAAATTTTATGAAACCATGATATAAAGACACTGAAGCTTAGCCAAGTCAACTGAACTTCACTTGCTTCCTAAACACCTTTACTGCCCCATCGAGCCTGCAGAGCCAGCCATCACTCTCTGCAGTGGGCATTCTCTCGCCCCACAGAGGACCTGAGTGCAATTAGTATTTCCCTTAAGCAGCCAGGGCATTTCCTCCTTATCTACAACTTGGTGGAAGGCTTGAGGTTTCCCCTGACACATTCACGCAAACATGGTTGTACTAGAGTAATAATACTAATGTTTTTGTAACTGTTATTTGCTTTCTATGTTGTTACTCAATTGGCTTGTGAATTATACAGTATAATGAGAATAAACATTTTCTTAATAAACTCAGAAACCTCTAGGTAGACTGAAAGTACTCTATGTACTACAGTGAGAAGAAAAACACATCCTTATTTTAAGCACTTATTCAAAATCTGTGCTAATATAGTTTATCCAATCCTGGTGTAGAAAGTATACATCAGGGAACCCACGGCTGCCTTAAGACCCTTTCATTTTTTCATTTTATCACCAGGACACAGAATTTTATGCGGTTGTTGGTTGGCAAAGACACTTAAGTAAAATTTCTGGGGAAGAAGAGGGAGGAACATGTTTTATTTCCCAGTTAATGACCAATTTAAGAGAGAATGACAATGAAAACATGGTTTCAAAGGTGTAAAACACTTATTCATAGTGTCTGAGCAATGGGAATGGCGAATAAAAACACACACTGAGTTATCACAAAAGAAAACATATGGCAGCGCTTACTTTTAAGGTTGCTGTTTTCTTCAATCACCTTCAGATCAGTGGCAGGAGGAGTGACTCAGCTATCATCACTAGTACTGAATCACTGGTACCCACCCTCTTTAATTAACTCGGAGGGAAGGCAGCAAAATTCAAGTTCATATTAAAATTGGGTTTGTTAATGACAGATTCCAAATGGAATTTTCCCAGTATTTCCAGGAAGCAGATGCTTTAAGAAATTCATGTTTACTTAGTGAAAATTTCATGCAAGAAGAAAATAGTCAGTGACTTTAAAAACTGTGATGTTCAATAGGAGAATTCATATGTCTGCTACAGTTCAACATCCCCTCGTTGCACCATCACCTCCATAATTGGCAAATACTATGAAATATAACCCATTTTCTCAAAGAAATATCATTTTATGGAATCTTATTCGAGGAGAATGCTGCTAGGGCAATCTCAAGAGTGTATACATTTTTTTGTGTGGAATAACAACAGAGAAATACTACGTAAATCAAATGATAATTGTACAAAACATTTATAGATGAACCAAATTCAAACTCCTAATAAACACAATCCCCACTGCCACTCTGACCTTTATGCGTTTCCAAGCAGCCATTAAGAAGAAACAGTTTTCTTATAACAAGTCATGGCAAGGATAGAAGTAAGTGAGCTATTATACTAATTTTTTAAAACTTGAGAATATTCAACTAACAGGAAAATCTTAAAAGATAAATGTTTTGTGTGTGAGAGAGAAGTACTTTGGAATTATAATCTTAATACCTTAATGGGATGACAGATCCTATCACATACACACACACACACAAAATAAATAAATAAACGAGAAGAAAAATAGCCCCAGTCAGGCTGTGGCTGCACACAGCTATCTCTGTTTATCAGCGACTGCTATCCGGACTGGGTGCTGTTCCCACAGTCTCATATCAGCACAACCATTTAGAAATGAAACAAACCACAGGAAACAAGCAAAACAACTCTCTGGCTGTCTGGTATGCATCGCCACTTCAAAATCAGAATCTAAAAATTCTCTCATAAAGTTTCTAAATATCAACCCATTAGGTTGTTGTCTGGGGATTCAGAGAGGTCCTATTAGATAGAGCTTGATGAACTACTTCTGTGGTTTATGACAAGATAATTTTTAGCATCCTCCACTACGCCATGTTCCAAAATACAAGAAATGTCACAGATAGTGGCACTGCCCTATCTGTGAACTCATAATGCATTCTCCTTCCTATTACTATATAACGATTCCATCCTCGTCCTTAAGGACGAGGTCAGGTGGTATCATGTTCTTCATCTTTAAAGTGGAAGAACCAAGGCAGATGTTCCTGCTGCTCTCTGCTGACATGGCTGACAGGACTAGAGCAGCACCTGACCTGGGCAGAGCCAATTAGAGTCTCTTTCCCAGGACTTTGAAGACTCTGGTCAGTGGACACACACAAAGACATGTTATGGCTCAGGAGGTAGAAGAGTCCGGGGTTCTTGTCCCAGCATCAAGAAGGGATCAGGAATCTGGAGAAGGGGTTGTGCGTAGATGACATAGGAATCCAGAGACTATAAAGAGTCCGGAGACGAGATATAATTTTGAAAGGCATTGGGGGTCAGAGGAGCTTAGCTAAAGGAGCTAAGATCTAAGGTCTTAAAGTCTAAGGTCTTAGGTTCTCTCTGTCCCCAGGACCCCATGCTTTTTATTAACACAACTTGTCCTGAGGCGAGGCAGAGATATACACTTCAAAGGGTCAGGGTTTGGTACAGAGTCCATTGTCAGAATGGGGGAATTAGCCCACGGCTGTTCAGGTGTTTGGCCAGTAGGAGGCAATAACACGTAGATTAAGATGCCCTTTAACTGTCTGGCAGCCAAGAATCAATTTAATGTATCCTATTCAGGTTTGGGGAAATGCCTAGTGACTACATGTGTGACTCAACCCTGTTGAGTCCCCAAGTCTCATCAACCTTTTGATGAAACTCTTGAAATTATGACATGCTGGAATTGGTCTACGGCAGAAGAGGAAGAGTTGGGGTTGCTATTTCAGTCAGCAAATGGAGAAACCTAGCCTGGAGTAAGCAGAAGAATAAAAGTGAAGCAAAAAGCAGCAGAGAACAGAAACGAAATGACCGCAGAAAGACAGTATATTCTTGAATCCAACAGCTTTTCAGGTTCTCGTTCTCTATGAAATCCATGTTTAGTGAGAAACCTTTGCATACTTCTATAAAAACCCTCCTTTTATTTTCTGTAATTCATTTGAGAGGGTTTCTTGATTAAGGTAGTAAGAGTTCTAATTATGAAAAATCATTGGTTTAGGTTGACTTTCCTCAACCATTTGTTAGTAATCATTAATATTTTTTCCCTCGACTTAAGATGTCGCTCCTTTATTTGTGTATTCGAGATTTCACAGGCAGACCTTGAGAAGAGAGAGGTCTTGTTATTTATACATTTAGCAATGAAAGGAAACTTTTTATTGACAAAGGTAACTACTTACATAATCTGGTAGAGGAACATCATTGGAACTTAGCGAACCTCTCAAGGACTGTGTAGCTTGTTCCAGAACTTTGTTGTGTTTTTTAGACAGCAAGGAAAACAAACTGAAAAAAATAAAATAGAGACTCCAATTATATTAAAACAACCAAGTGTCTCCTTTGCTAGGTCTTACATGGAATTATATAGTTCCACAGAATGTCAATCATTCTAAAACACACTTGTAAGGATTCTTTTTTTCATGCTTGTGTTAACAGCAGGATTAACAATACTATTGATAGAACAAAAATTAAGTGAGAAGAATGTTTAAAGTATAAGGGTTCTAAAGTATAAAAAAATTGACAAGTTAAAATTATATTTCAAACATGGAAGAAATTTTCAGAAGATTACTATAGTGGGAAAAACAGTAGACAAACATTTAGAAAACCTGGGTTATGAAATGACTCTATGAGTAACTCACAGTGTAATTTATTACAAGTCACATGAGTTTGTTTTATCTCAATTTCCTCATCTTTCAATTAACTGTGTTGGATTAGATTATTTCTTTAATATAATAGAGTCTATGATTTAATTTTATAGCTTTATATTTTTATTTCTCAAAAAGAATAACCTTAAATATACATATTATAAGATTTCTGCTCTGACAATGATGAACTACCTGGTACTGAATAACCCTCTTGTCGTAAACAACTAAGAAACTGGACAACATATATGAAACAACTGTTTTCAGATGTTGTACAACATCTGAAGTGCAAGATTCTGACCCTAAAAGAAGAGAGACCTATATATGGTGAGTTTCTGCCTAGAGGAACATTCCAGACTGTAGTTCAGAATAGTGGAACCCAAATAGTACACTCAATAATATTGTGCTGAGCTGATAAGACAGAGATATGAATTTGAGGCTGCTGCAGCAGCTGGGAATTTGCAGGGCAGATTATTGGATGGGAGAGAAATACAAGAGAAAGGTCCAGAAATCTGCCAAAGGCTCTTCCTTAGTGTTTGGCTAAATACTAAGCTGTATAGTACAGAGAAAACCCCCACAAAGTGTGGTGGTTAAACAACTACCCAGGAACTGAAACCGGCACAGAGATTTTTGAAAGTCCCAAAAGGCTGAGGGATACTCGAGTTCCCACCAGCCAGAGTAGATAAAACTAACTGAACGTGGGCATTCAGTTGAATTCTCAGAAAGACCATACTTTAGAAGCAGAGTATATCTAACCCAGAGTAATAATTACTGTATTCCAAAATTTACCCTAACAAATCTAAAAAGATCAATTTTCAAAGGATAAAGCTAATTTACATTAAATATAAATGGCTAAACACTCCAATGAAATGGCAGAGATTGTCAAACTGGATAATAAGCAAGACCTAATTACATGCTGTTTACAAGAGTAACAGTTGTAAATTTAAAGATACAGATAAGTTAACATTAAAACAATATAAAAATGATATAAACACTAGAGTGGTTCTATTAATATTAGACATGGTAGGTTTCAGGACAAGAATATTATTATTAGAGATAGAAAGATTTTATAATGATAAAAAAGCCAATTCACCAAGAAGACAAAACAATCCTGAATGCTTCAAGTATACATAACTATGTGCTTATGATATTAAATCTACTATAGCTAATGAGAAAAGAATTCCTCGTTGGGCTAGATGACAACTTAAAAATATAGGCCATTCTGATTCCATGTATTTTTCCATATAAATTTGAGGTATAATTTGTAGTATTTTTTTTAAATGTCAAAAACATTACTCTAGTATGTCTTAGTGATATCCTGCTAATAAAATGTTACTTTGAATATTTTTTTTGGAAAATCCCTAACTATTTAAGATGGTTTAAATGGGATATTCACTGAAGACAAGGTTACTGGGCATTCTTTCTAGATTAAGTTTTAACATTATCAAGAAAAAAATTCTTTAAACACTGATTGGTAATGCTGGATGTTATACTAAGCAAATTAACAGAGGCAAGAAACTAAATCTATATCTAAATACAGTTGGAAGAAAAATAATTAAGTGAAATAATTACTGAATGAATAAGTGTGAAATCGTATACTGATTAAAACTAAGCATATGTCTAAGAGATAGATTTCTTTGAAATGGAACAGTCTAGCAAAGTTTCATGAAGGCATTAGATCTTTCATAGAATCTTGAAGGAAAAAGATCTGTGCAAGAGAAAAGGCATTTCTAAATAGAAGGCAAAGCACAGAGGCAAAACAGGAAAGTAAGAAGAGTGGGATGAAAAGGCTATCTAAAGAAGTGGGAAACAAGATTCAACCAATTAGGGTATGTCCATTTTTTGCAATCACTTTATTTTTCTGGGTCTTCTCCATTTGAATTTAGTCTTGCTTTGCTTTGTTTTTCCTTTTTGGAGTTAAAAGTAAATACTGTACTTTCTACTCAAGCCCGTTCCTACGACCCATTGGTAACCACTGGTAATGTTAGCAGTTTATTGTATATGATTCTAGAAATGTTATATGCATCAACAATAAATGAATACTGTTCATTTACACCCATCTTTTTATTCCACAAAATATAAACTGTTTTGTACCTGCACTTTTTCTACTTAACAATACATTCTTAATTCAGTCAACAAACAATTATTTAGTGCGAGTTACTTGATACAAAATATGGATATACCATAATTTGACCTGTCCACTATCAATCAGTATAGTGTTCCCAGTTTTTTGTATTACAAATAGCACTGCAATGAATGCGCTTGTACACAATTTTTAGTATACTAGAGGGGAGAGACTATTCCTTGAAGTAAAACTGCTGATTAAAAGAATTACTGAACATAATACTGAAGTGCATTAGGGGGTATATATTTTTTAATGTACAAATTATTTTAAAGGTGATGGAAGTAAAAAGGTAAAAGTAAATTAGGATAGTGTATGATGCAAATTTACATGGAAATGTATAAAGAGGGAGATCAGTAAGAGTCTTCTAATTGGTTTCAATACATTTCTTGGAATAAATGAAATTTCAGAAGTTTTTGAGACAAATAACTTTGGTGGTCAGTTGTAGCATAGTATTTGGCAAGACTCAGGCATAAATGGACGCCCAAACAAAAAAGGGAAAGCAATAAATATACCTGGAATTGAATTTCTCCTGGTTAATGTAATTAAATAAGGAAGACATAGAAGGAAAACTGAAAGATGACTAACTTTAAAAACAATGTTACAGTAATTATGATGAGTGAAAATATTTTTAAAATAACGGCTAAAATACATGACTTGTCAATGTATGACCTGGTAGTTATAACAAAAACACAAGTGAGTGAAAAAAGAGAATCTATCATTAAGCTTAAAGACAATTTTATTTTTCACAGTCATTCATGCAAATTTTTTGTTTTTAACTTTAAAGTAATTCAGTGGGAAAATATCTAATAAGTAAAAGGATTATTAAGCAGATTTTTCTAATTTTGACTAAATTTGGTCAGAAATGCTATTTAGTAAGAATGACCTAAGTAAATTAAAACCTTGGTAATTTAATTTATCTCAAAAGAAAAACTACCCCTAATTTTGAGTTACTTCTCATACATCTTCCATGGGTAATACTTTTTAGAAAACCCAACAAACTAAATATGCCTCCTTTTCCATGTCTAAAGACATAAACCCAGACCACAGAGAAAGATTTCCTAGCATGAAGTGGTTATCAATGCCCAAGAGAGAGCTGTGAATTCAACTCTAGGTCTTATTAACCTGATTTAACACCACTCTACACAAGCTAAGTTATTACCTTCCTCAGCTAAAACTCCCACATAATAAAATCAACGAAGAAGGGGAAACCAGGATGGAAATATATGGAAATGGGGAAAATTTAATAGTGACCCCCCAAAAAAAAAAAAACAAGAAAAGGGTTTTGAGATCAAAGTAGGAGCAAACTCAGCATTCCGTTAATGTTTAGTACAATTGTCCAAGTTCATGGCAACATCCCTGCAGCCTCCAGAAATGGATGCAAACATGCACCAAGCCTTGTACTTACAAAACTGGTGCGTCTGCAATAGCAAGATGTCTTGGCTGAAATACTTTCAAAGCATTTTTTAAGATAGTGCTTTCATAAAACATACTTTTGTTATCTGGAAAATATGTGGAACTCCATAATTCCCAGGGATGCTAGATAAATGAGGTATCACTTAAATAGGATTTTAAAAGCCTGTAATATTTGAAGCTACAGTCCCTTTTAGTTCTGAGCTAAGTCCAAACAACAGAGTTTACTACAGTATCAACCAGAATATTTCTGATATGATAAATTACAAATGTTTTTAAATTAAAATATATTTAACAATACAGAACATAACCATTGTGTTCCCCAGGAATAACCATTTTTAAATGTCTTTTTAGAACACAGCTCTATTTAACTACCAATAATTACAGAGGTAAAATTTTATCAGTAGTTGTAAAAATGTCACAATTTCAGGACAAAATTATAGCTCAAATCAAGTTGGGCATAACTTGATAAGAAATAATCTCCTGTTTTTAAAGAACTGTGGTTAATGTTTAACCACATATGACTCCCCAATTTTCCTAAGATCCAGGCATAAATTCATGCTTTGTGCTCCCTCTGCTGGCTCTAAGCTATTTTTTGTACAAGGCAATCATATTACAAATGCACTGAAAGGCACTTGTTCATTACATTTGGGATCTTAAAGATGTAATCCAGCCCTCCACTTCCAGCGTTGAGGAAAAGCAAGACAACCAAGGTGATCCTGAGTGCTGACAGGTAGAATAATCCTCATCTTTTGACTCCTAATCCAGTGCTCCTTCCATTCCATTAGCACCTCAATGTCTTCAAGTACAAAACTACTGTTGAACTATAGCTTGCTACCTGCAGTTACTTAAAGTCTGAAGCTTGGTAGCTCTGAGCCACACACAGATTTTTCACTGAACTGTAATTACAACTGGTAATATGTCTATCAGTGCAGACATATTAGGCTCAGAGAGTATCCATGATTCTGTCTCTTGGACAGCGCCCAATTAAAATAACCTATTGTAAAATTCCCAGACACACTGAATACTTAAATTTCTCCTAATGTGCTTCTATCATTTGTTTACAAATCATATGCCACAAAATTCGCCTTGGAATATACGGCTGCCAC